AATGATTGGTGACATTGAGCATCTTTTCATGTACTTATTGGCCATTTGTATATGTCTTTGAAGAAATGTCTATTGAAGTCCTTTGTCCATTTTTTAATCAGGTTATTTGATTTTGTTGCTTAGTTGTAGAAATTCTGTATACATTCTGGGTATTAACCTCCTTAGAGAGATGATAAACAAATATTTTTTCTCACTCTGTGGGTTGTCTTTTAACTGTTTATAGCATTCTTGATATAGTCCAATTTATTTGTTTTCTTTTGTTGCCTGTGCTTTTGGTGTTATATACAAAAAATTCTTGCCAAATCCAATATCATGATGGTTTCTCCATATGTTTTTTTCCTAATAGTTTTACAGTTTTAGCTCTTAGTTTTTGTATATGGTATGAGGCAAGGACTTAACTTCATTCTTTTGCAGGTACATATCCAGTTTTTCCAGCATCATTTGTTGAAAAGATGGTCCTTTACCCACTGAATGGTCTTGGTAACCCTGTTGAATATCATTAAGCCATATATGTGAACATTTATTTCTGGGCTCTCAATCCAATTCTGTTAGTCTATATGTCTGCCTTTATGCCAGTATCACACTGTTTTGATTACAGTAGCTTTGTAGTAAGTTTTAAAATTAGGACATGTGAGAGCTCCAACTTTGTTTACTTTCAAGATTATTTTGGCTATTGTGATCCCTTGAGAGTCTATATGAATTTAGCATGAATTTTTCTATTTCTGTTAAAAGAAGTCATTAAAATTTTTATACAGTTTACATTGAATCTGTATATTGCTTTGGGTAATGTTAACATCTTAACAATGTTATGTGTTCTATTCCATGAACATGGGATATCTTTCCACATATTGGTGTCTTCTGAATTTTTTTCAGCAATGTTTTACAGTTTTCAGTGTAAAAGTCTTTTCTCCTGTGTAAAATTGATTTCTAAGTATTTTATTCTCTTTAATGCTACAGTAAATGGAATTGTTTTCTTAATTTCTTTTTTGGATTGTTCATTGTTAGCGTACAGCAGTGCAACTGACTTTTGTGTGTTAATCTTTTTTTGTTCTGCAAATTTGCTGACTCTGTTTATTAGTTCTAACAGTTTATGTGTGTGTTATCTTTAATGTTTTCTACACATATGGTCATATTGTCTGTGAATAGAGAAAGTGTTCTTTCTTCCTCTGCAATTTGGATGCTTTTAATTTAATTTTCTTGCTTAGTTGCCTGGCTAGAACTTCTAGGACCTTGATGAATATAGGAATACTGTTTTATTGTACTTCTCAGATATTGCATTTTTTTTAAGAAATTGAAGATTTGTGGCAACTGTGAGTCAAGCAAGTCTATTGATGCCATTTTCCCAACAGCATTTGCTTACTTTTTGTCTCTCATTATTATTATTATATTTGTTACGGTAATCTGTGATCAGTGATCTTTGATGTTACTACTACAACTTGCTGAAGGCTATGATGATAGTTAGCATATTTTAGCAATAAAATATTTTTAAATTAAGGTATGTACATAGCTTTCTTAGACATAATGCTGCTGCACACTTAATAGACCACAGCCTAGTGTAAACACAACTTTTATATACACTGGGAAATCAAAACAATCTTGTGAGTTGCTTTATTGTGGTATTTACTTTATCTGCTGTGATATTGTGCTGAACCCTCAATATCTCTGAAATATGCCGTACAAATAACGGAAGTGGGCATCTTTGTTTCGTTTCTAATCCTAGAGGAAATCTTTCAGTCTTTCACCATTGAGTATGATGTTAGTGTGAGGGTAATTGTTTTTTAATAAAGAGATCTTCGAAGGCTCGCATTTATAGGATTCAAATTTATTGAGCAACTTTTAACTGCCCTGACCTAGATTGCCCTTTTCATTTGTCACTCATTTAGACTTCACAGAAACTCTGTGAAGGAGATGTGCCCCACTAAATAAATGTGGAAATCAGGATTCATGGAAATCAAGTAACTTGCCAAGGTTTACATGATTAGCAAATGACAGATGTGGGCTTTGGATTCTGCTTTATCTCACTTAAAAGTCCAGATTCTTTCCACTTTACCAAACAGCGTTTTGAAAGAGGAATCAGGTCTCTCTAGACTTACATTTCATTTTCTCTTCTACAATGTCAGGCAGAGCTGGGCCCATTCAGATGCTCAGTATCTTGTGGATGGATCCACTGCCAACGAGAAAACCCATTTCTAAACGCCCTGAGAGCTTTCTTGTCCCAGCTGAAAAGTGAAGCTGGATCTCTCAGCAGTTGAATACGCGTTCCTCTTGCCAAACACAATGCCTAATTTGGGCTACAGGCCTCTCACTGGGCCACTAAACCTGGCTTCTAAAGCCGTTCATCTTCCAGTCTGCATCCACAACTCTCCGTCCCCAGCAGTTGCAGCCACTTACACTTGGGATCCTATTGCCCAATTCAGAGCAGTAGCAGTGAAGCCACCACTTTTTTTCTCTTTGTTTGTGCCTGGGGTGGGACATTGCTCTGGAGAAACAAAAGAACTTCCTGAAAAGCCATTCCTCTCCTAAGACTCCCCTCCTTGGCCAGAGTGGAGGAAAACAACCCATGGCAGGCAAATTGATTACATTGTCAAAAAAAAGGGCTAAAAATAATTTCTCAGACCAGATCCCAGCTCTCAGAACAGACATCTTCACAGAGCTGACAGTCTTCGCCTGTAGGTGGTCTAGGAAAGGGACAAGCCTGCCCTTGGAATATCCTTCCTCTGAACTCTGCAGAGGTGGCAGAGCAAGGCCACAGAGGAAAAGTAAAAACAAAGGCAAAAAAAAACCAAAAAACCCCAAAACCAAAAAAACCCTCTTCCCTATTAAAATAACTCCACATAGCCACATCTTCTGGGACATCTTGATGGCAAACAATTCTGTTCATGTGTCGTAAGACAGAATGACTACCACGTGATGGAGCATTTGTTTTGATTTTTGATGCAGGAGCGATAGTCACCATAATAGGAAAAATAAACAAGTCAAAAATGTTTTAAGAGTATAACTCTTCTTACAGTCCTCTGTGGGAAAGCATGTATGTGCGTGTGTGTGTGCATGAGTATGTGTGCGTGTGTGCGTGTGCTCTATGACTACATCTCCTGATGCTGATTAAAATTTAAGCCCATAGGGAACAATAATCTTCGACCTCCACCAGCTTCCCCTAAGCACACACACTTTGGGTAGAATTTTGTATTACTTGAAAGATCCAGAATGAGCCCATGAGATAGAGACGAGACTTCTGTTGAGACTCCCTGCCTGCATGTGGGAGGGGAGACAGGGAGGGGGAGGGGCATATTCTAGCCTCCATCTGGGAAGAGCCAAACTCTCTCTGAGAGCCCAGGGAGAGTCTAGTGCCACCTCTTGACACCTGAACGTCCTACTCTAGCTTGAGTGTGGAGGGGGCAGAGCTCTGAGGGAGCTTGGAGTTGGACAGCACACAGCCATGGAAATGTGGAGCAAGGGCCTTAGGCTGCGTGACGTAGAGGAAAGATCTTGGACTTCAGAGTCCTGCAGTCCTGCCCTTAGCACACTTGTGTGACCTTGTGTGACCTTGGTCAAGTTACTTCCTGATACAGTCCTCGTCTGCAAAACAGAGGTAGTTCTTCCCAGGGTCCTCATGATAATCAGGAAGAACATATGTAACGTGATTGGCACCTTATATGAGTTCAAGTAATGGTGGTTATTACTGTCATTAGAGTTGATCTACTCAACAGTCTTGTGTAGCTGAGAAAAGGGGGGCCCAGGGGAATGAAACAACTCATCAATGTAATGCAGCCTGTCGGTGAGAGCCAGGACTGGAACCTAGCGATTCTTCCCCTAAATCACTTTGCCTCCTAAGATCTCCTGTGATGGGAGATATTAGGACTAAAACACATTCTTGCTACTCTTGAGGACTCCACAATTTAATGAAAGGCAGGCATATGAAAAAAAAAATCCACAAGGGTACTTAAGTAAGAAATGGAGAAATAAATGCTTGCATGTGTGGTGTATTTGCTCAAAGACATGGAGTGGGAGAAATTCGGTGCCATTAGCAAGACAATTGAAGGACAGCACAACATTGTGTTTGGCTCCTGCTTACAAGAAAGTGAAGTGGCTTATTTTTCTGTTTCAATTTTCTCGGAATTTATAAAGCCTCTAATTGTAGAAGTCATTTTGTCTCACCCTCTATTTGACTTTGTTTACTTTTTTAAAAAAATAAAGTATTTTCTCAGTGGATTCTCAAGACAGGCCATATGGAATATAACTGGGCTCACTGGACACACACTGTTTGTGGCCACCAAGGGGGAGACCTGACTCCCATTGTCCCCTGGGTGACTAGGTCTCTCCAACCAAGGGTAAGTTAGCAGACATGCAGACAGATGGGGAAAGCATCTCTTTTCTTGCCATCACGTCTCCCATAGCACAATGCCTGGCACATTTAGGTGCTTAGTAAATGCAGCTTCAACAAATTACATATGGACTGGGCTCCCTTGTACCCCGAGTTCACCTCTCCATGATGGCAAGAAAGATCAGCACAGGAAATGTTTCTCCATCACTTGGCTTAAGTAAGATATGAAAAGCCCTTTCTAGGCGGCAGTGTACTGGAAAGTCCCTTCTCTCTAGCCTGGCTGGGCTCATCAGGACACAGGAACCGCTTCTGAATTTTCCCAGCTTCAGAGACTTCCTCCCAGCCTCATCAGCCGACGTGACTTTACAGGATTCAAATGAAGTCCGGTCTTCTTCACAAACCTCCTCTGACCACCATTCCTGTCTCCCTTTCCTGAGTAACCTGGATGTTTAGCACACAACTACGTGGCGCCTTTAGCATTATGCTCATACCCATCCATGTGCGTATTCGTACCTTCGAGAGCGAGGACTGTTAGCCTCCACCTTCTGGATCTCTCTCGGGCCCTCACAAAGGTACACGTGGCTTGTGACAGGCACTCCACAAGCTTTTGATTCAGGAATCCTCTAGTTCTTGGAGGGTGTGGCTCCTAACGTCTCAAACTCAGCATGTTGTAAGTGACCTTACTTGCAGTCCGTATCTAAGCAGTTGCCTAAGATGGCATGGACTTTATTTTGCACAACAGTACGTTTGTTTCTTTTTTCACTCTGCTACATTTATTTTTCTTTCACACATTCTTCTCTCTTTCTCTTTGGTGCACAAGCTTGTGTAAAGAGGTTGTAAATGAAGAAACATGGAATACAAAGTTCTCCATTGGAAGGAGGTGTCAATGGTTAAAAAATGACCTACCCACCTTGGTTGGTCGTTTTGCACTGAAATAAGAAGCACAAGGTATAGTTGAAGGGGTTAAATCTTCAACAGCAGGAGTTCAGGTAACACAGTAGTTGAACGGGTCCCTTGGCATCCTTCCAGCTGCTCACAAATTTTGTACCAGGAACTGGGGTTGCTGGTTAGAGTAGAAAAGAAGTTATAAATGAAGTTTGGTCATTCTTTATTTGCTTATATCCTACAAATAAGTCTTTTAGCCCCCCGAGAGCAGTCCTCAGGCGGAGGGTGTCAGACCACCTCCAAAGTGCTCCATCTGTTTTTCCCGAGACCACACAGTGGGGCAAGAGGCACTCTTCAGTGGAAGAAATGAGTCACAGTATTTGGTTTTCCCAATCCTCTCCCAATCTCAGGAGCCCAGACAGAGGAAGCAAACAGATAGTTGAACAATGAGAAAAGAAAATGCAAAAGGGGGAATGAATTCATGGCAAGAGAATGTCAAAATATCAGAAGTGACATTCTCATTTTACAGATGAGTAAAACTGAGGCCTAGAGAGGGGGAGATGATTGACCCAATATCACAGAACCAAGGCTGGTGATCACCTCTTTTGAATACTGAGCCCCCTCCTCTAGCTCTACAATTTCTCCTGCCTTAGGATGCCAGCTCCGAACAGAATCTCCATCCTGCTCCTGCACAGAGAGTCCGTGGTTTGCACCCTCACTGTTCAGTTAAGGCTCAGACTCAACTCTCTACTACCTCATCAGGGACACTGTAACTGGATTGTTTCTTCTCTGCTGGGCGGCAGAACTTCTCCAAGAGAGATCTGCGTACCATGAGCCTCTGAATCCCTTAGGTGACTCAGTGCCTTCTTAGACCTACTCAATCATGATGGAGGCAGGGCTGGGGGTTTGCATTTTCACAGAAGCCCGAGGAATGGCTGGGCACGTTAAGTCTTGGTACTGCAAGTCAAGGGCGAGAACCAGGGGCAGCCAGCCACGTGCCCTCCCTCTCCCAGCGGCAGTCCAGCTGACCTCTCAGCACAGGCCTGACTAATGGAGCAGTTAGCAAAGGACTGGCAAGGCAGGAACATCGCCCAGAACCAGAATATTCTGCAAATGAAACCTCGTATACAACCATATGTGTTGAGAGACACATTTCTTAATGGCTGGTTACAACGTTCAGTTGGTCTGTGAGCTAACAAAACTGCTCTTCCTCTTTCCCCATCTCTGCCCTCCCCTCCTCCTCCCCCAGCCTCAAGGTTCCCTTTTACACATTTCTCACCATGTGTGACTTTGAGCTTTGTTTACAGAAACAGCCATAACCATGACAACGAAGTGGCAATGCCCCAACGGTGGGTCCAGTGAAGCCTTGCAGTGTTTACCAGGGCACACCTATTTTCACTTGCCCAACTTGCTTCAGATAATGAAGTTAGATTTCTTTCTTAGCATGAGCTGTCCTTCTCACCGAGAGAGTGTCCATTACAAGATCCGGCCTGCTGATGGTCCGTGTGTGAGTAGCCCATTGCTACAGCAGATCGGTCATGCTCATGCAGGCCCCACATCTGCCCACGGAGGCACAGCCTGTAAGTGGCAGCTGATGTGGGAGAGAGAACAAGGAAGAACATGTGTGCAGTGGAGAGAGCAGTGATGGACAGAAGAGAGGAGAAGCCTCGGTTTCCCTCGTGAGGCTGATGATGTGATGTGGGAGAGGAAGAGCTCTTGCGAGGTGGAGAGGCAGCTGCACAGGGAGTTTGGGAGTCAGAGGGCCCTACTTTCCCTTGGACATTGCCTGGAGAAAGATGGAGAGGTTTGTTTTGTTGTGACTCGGGGAGAAGGAGATCAGCTGAGTGCTGGCAGCAGGGGAGGGATTACCAAGTGATGGCATTGAAATATGATCGTCTGTAGGTCCATTCATGTTTCTGCAAATGGCATTATTTTATCTTTTTTATGGCTGAGTAGTATTCCATTGTATAAATATACCACAACTTCTTTATCCAGTCCTCTGTTGATGGACATTTAGGTTGTTTCCATGTCTTGGCTGTACACATACACAGATTTAAATACACACATATACGACCATAAACATATGTGTGTGTGCCTACATGCAGCCATGCTTACACCAGTCCATCTGTATCAGTCATGTACACAGCTGTGCACAGGCATGCTGATTTGCACATACACATCAGAATAAAACAGAAAATATCCCTATGCTATGGTGACCATGTGACTTGTTGGAGACCACACTGAGCCAAGGATGAGGCTCTAAGGAAGAGGAGAGCAGTGGCCAGGTCTCCTGGTCCTCGGAGCCCTCAAGTGCTGGGTACGCATCAGGGCACAATAAGGTCTTAACTAATTGATGGGCTCTGTGGCTTACCTCGCTGACTGCTGCCTTGGCTTGATTAGGAAAACTGTGAATAAACTGTCTCCCTTTCTATCCTTTTGTGTGAATTCTTAGGGTGCCTTGGAGCTTCTCCTTGGCTGAGGTTGTGTTGTGTTTAGGAAACTCCTCCCTTATCCTCTGATGCTCCACTCCCAGAACCTCACCTCACCATCAAGGGAAAACCTTATTTCCATTTCTTTTCCAAAGGAAAAGACAAATCCCACCGCCGACACACACCAGTCAGTGCGATCTGGGCTTCTTTGGAAAACAGAGCAGCACCCTGGCACATGGGAGGCCAAATATGCCACCTGTGAGCTTCTGGGATGTGGGGGTGATGCCCAGGGCTCTCTGTGGTACAGCTGGTGTCTCAGACCTTCCCTGGTGAGGGTCTTTGTTCCCCTCACAGCAGGAAGGAAACCCATGTGTTATGATAGACACTGGGCAATGATTGTTCACCTACCTGTAGTTTATTAACAAAGTGTACATCAACATTATCATCATCATCAAACACTGCCATTAAAGAGTGCACATTCTGTGCCTGTTTGGTTGGTCAGGGTGAAGCAAAAACAAACAAACAAACAAAAAACCACACATATGCTCTCTGGGTCACCAGAGGAAGGCAACGCCTGCACCCCATGCCTGAGGAGTTAGCATCTTCACTTAAGCAGCAAGAAGCCTGGAGTCTCAGATGCAGACTCCTAGAAATGGTTCCCTTTCCCCGTGGAGCTCCTTGGTTGTGATGAACCTCGTCTTCATTACCTTTGCACTTGCTACTGATTCTGGCATATACGACTGAGTGTCTGAACAGGAGGGAGATGGGATTGGAATGCTAATTTTGAACTTTCAATTCCATCCTGTTGCTTTTTCTCCTCCAAGAGCTTTCTCTGTTTTTTCCTTCTCTTCTTTGTTCTTCCTTCTCTTCCATGACATCCCAAAGGCCAACAGGATAGCAAGAGAGTTGGCTGCCTTTGCAGTCACACCCTGAAGACTTGGAGTTCCTAGGGCAATGGCTCCCCACTTCCTTATCTCTCTCTGTAGCACAAACCAATGTTCAGCCTATCCTCTGGAGAGCCAGGGTGAGCTTGTGACATCAGGGGCTCTAAGCTTTTAGTTCCAGGGGTTACTGGACTGATGGTTTTAAGGGAATTCATTTCCAGATCCTCAACTTCTCTAGTTTCTGGGTGTCAGGTAGGATCTCTGTGCCCTCCCTACTCCCCACCCATTTCAGAAAAGGCTTTTTTCCTATTTTCCATAAGCCAATGCTTGTATTCTTCCCAAATTGTGTTCTGGTTCATTGTTCTAGGGTGTAAACACCTGCAGGAAGCCAAATCTCCTTTGTTAATGAAAGCACTAGAAACTCCTGGGACAGCTTCCTCTTCTTCCTGATTTTACACCTTTTTTTCTGTTAAGGCTGACGCTGATTCTGTGCTGATGGTAATGGAGTGTGTTGGCTTCTTTGGGGAGGGTGAAGACAATGCGAGTGATGGCAATTCTGTTTGAGGACCTCACCTCTCCAAGCATGACTTTTGTCAAATAATGGTTTGCTGTTGGGGGAGAAAATGGCGACAGCAAAGCCGAGCGAGAACTGGAAGCACTGAATGCTAAAAATGTCTTTCTTTCCACGCATATTTAATCACAAGCAATTATGTTCAGCTATTCTCAATGCCCATCCTTGGAAAGTGTCATTATCTGGAAAGAAAAGCACCTTGGAACAGCTGAGACAGAAGAGGTTAGTGACACAGATTCTATTAAATGTAACAGGGATGTTTTGAGGGCTACCAAATGATAGAACCAGTGGAAAAGGCTTTACATGATTTCTTCTAGGTTTGTTTTTATAGGTCTCTTTTTTTTTTCTTTTTCTTCTCTTTTCTTGTGGTTTGATGACTAAAGAAGTTCCTTTAGCATTTGTTGTAAAGCTGGTTAGGTAGTGTTGAATTCTTTTAGCTTTTGCTTATCTGTGAAGCTTTTGGTTTCTCCATCAAATTTAAGTAAGAGCCTTGCTGGGTAGAGTATTCTTGGTTGTAAGTATTTCCTTTTCATCACTTCAAATTAAATATATCGTGACACATCCTTCTGGCCTATAGAGTTTCTGCTAAAAAATCAGCTGATAACCTTATGAGAGTTCCCTTGTATGCTGTTTGTTGCTTTTCTCTTGATGATTTAAATATTTTCTCCTTATCCTTAATTTTTTCCATTTGATGACTATGTATCTTGATGTGTTCCTCTTTGGGTTGATCCTGTGTGGAACTCTCTGTGATTCCTAGACTTGGGTAACTGTCTCCTTTTCCAATTTAGGGAGATTTTCAGTTATTGTCGCTTCAAAATTTTTCTCAGGTCCTTTCTCTCTGTCTTCTCTTTCTGGGACCTCTATAATGCAAATATTAATTGCTTCATGTTATCCCAGAGTGTTTTTAATACCTAATTTCTTTTAAATTCAGTGTGTGGCAATCAGTAAGTTAGCTAAAATCTATTTAATCAAATCATATCATGAAATATTTAGTCCATTAGTCAGTCCTTATCTTATTTTTTTCTTATGAAAATTTGCTTACTATTTTCTAAGCAAATAGTGGTGGTTAATAAAATATAACATGATATTCTAGCTGCTGAACCATTTTGCTGTTACCAGTGTATATGTTTCTCTTTCATTAAATATATGAGAAAAAAATCTCAATCATTTCTCACAATATTAAGGGCATTATTTCTAAAGTTACATGCATAATTTCTATTTAGTGACTTTCAAAAGCTGAAAGACAGATTCAATTCATGCCTGCATGTGTATTTACCAAAAGACTCCTAGTTTTATTCTTGCTTCATAAATAACACATTTTGGGGGCTACAAATTACACTGCATTATTTCAAATTAAGTAGTGAGGAACAACATATAGATTTATTATGGCTTTCTTAAACTATAAAAATAGACTATCTTAGCTTTATATCAGCTTAATTTTGATTTGACTGCTTTTAGCAATCTCTCTTTGAAAACCCCCCCCCCAAATTCCACAACATATTACTCAGTGATTTTTAATAATATTCCTGAAATGTATATTAATCTATTCATTTGACTTGAAAAATGAAGTCAGACATCTCATGGCAGAAAGGGAGTCTGAGTGGGCTGATGGTTTGACAGTGACGACTGACGTTTCTAATTAGCTTACAATGCAGACAGTTCTCCCCATGCTGAGTAAGCAATCAACTTAAATCCAAACTTACAGGACATGATGAGATGAAAGCAGTTGATAGAAAAATATTGTATTGTGAAAGATTTTCCCAATTCTGTCTGAGTAGATCATGCTAAACAGTATGTCTGTAAGTGGAAGAAAAAGCAATGGGTGTAATTACTGGTCATTTGTTACCTTTTGGAAATGTTTTGGTATTCTGTCCAGAACTTGAGAAAGGGATGATTCCCATAAGCTAAGAAATAAAAAGTAAATAAATAAAAATTCAGACACACATACACACACACACTTTTTTTCAGGGCAGGTGGTTTCCAATTCTTTGCTTTTAGCACAAGTGAAGAAGAACCTAATCAAGCGTCACCCCGTCATCTACTGAAAGATATTGTTTCAGTAACTTTCTCCTCTGTCTCTTATGTCATCCATACTCCCTCTGCTAATGGGTTATCACCATCATGATATATCTATTTCTCCAATCTTAAAAGAATTTTTTTGCCTCTCCCATTTCTCTGTCCCTCCTTACATTGGAAACTCCTAAAATATTCATCTCTACCCACTATCTCCAATTCTTGTACTTCTGTTTTCCTTAAACCCATGGCAAACAAGATTTTGCCCTCAATCATTTCAACAAAACTACTCTTGTTTGTTTAAGGTCACAATGATGTCAGTGTTGCTAAATCCATAATCAATTCTTAAAGCTAATAATATTTGACCTTTCAGTAAGCATTTCACAGCTACTCATTTCCCACTCCTGAAAACACTTCCATCCCTTGGCTGCCCTAAACCCCATACACTCTTAGTTTTACTCTGAATTTACTGTTCACATTTCAATTTATTTTTCTATTTCCTCTGCTTCGCCTTCACCTTTTATTACTAGAGTGCCTCAGGGTTTAATTCTCGGACCTTGTTTCTTCTCTATTACACTCCCTTCCCAGGTGATCGCATCCTGTCCATGGTTTCACATTCCATCTACGTGCTGATGACTTTTATCTAGAGTGCAGACTTCACCCTTAGCTCATGACTCCCTCAAAGTGCCCAGTCACCAGCAATGCCTCATAGAAATAGCAGACTTATGTCCAAATGATCTTGTCTTCCTTTTTCACATGTTTCTTCATCAAAGCTCATAGCAATGCCATCCTTCCATTTGGACAAGGTAAGAACCTGGGTGTCATCCTTGACTCCGTTCTCTCACACTCCACCTCCCACATACCATGAAAGCATGTTAGCTCTGTCTTTATAAAACATCCAGCATCCTTCTCACCAACTCTTCTGTCACCATCCTCATCTTGCCTGGATTTTTGTAATAAACTCCTAATGGCCCCTTGCTCATAGTCTTGCCAACCCTCTCTCAGTCTATTCCAACACAGCAACAGAAGTGAGTCATTCCTACACTCAAAGGCTCAAAACCCTCCAGTGGTTCTCCAGCTCACTCCAGGCAAGAGCCAGTGCGCTTACAACGGCCTGCAAGGGCTCACACTGATTGCATTACCTCTTTGACTTATCGCCTTTGATTCTCCTCTTAGTCTGTTCTAGCCCCACTGGCCTCTTCATAGTTGTTCCTCAAATAGTCCAGGCTGTTACTGAGCCAAACTTGGGTCCTCTTGCTTGTGCGCAGTAAAGCCAATCTGCTGACAGCAGGTTGTGGTGAAGGAAAGTGCAGTGTTTAATGCAGGGACCAAGCAAGGAGTTCGGGTCTTCCAAGCACTAGCCACCTGGACTCCTTACTTAGAGCCCTGCAATAAATGCTGTGCTTTCCCCCCCCCCACAACCTGGTGTTAGCAGACTGGCTTTACTGTGTGTAAGCAAACAGACCCAAGTTTGGTTTGGTCACAAGGCCTCGGGGCATTTGTACTGGCTGTTTCCTCTGTGTGGAGCCCTTCTCCAGAAAACTGCAAGGCTCACTCCCTCTTTGCTTTCGAATGTTTGTTCAAGTGTCTCTCATTAAAAGCTACTCTGACTACTCAATTTAAAATTGCACTCCCCTTACCTTGCTGATTTTTTTTTCTACAGTGATTATCACTATTATTCTAATCATTGTCTCTCTCCCTCCCTAGAATGCTCAATGACAGAAGGGTTCTTTGTTTTTGTTGATTGCTGTAACCTCAGGGCCTATAAAACTGCCTGGAAGTAAGAACTCAGTGAATACAGTTGATTCACACAATCCATGAGTTCTGAACTTGCAAATTAGCCTACTTGCTAAAATGTATTTGTAGCCCCCAAATCCATGTTCATGGCATGCTTGTGGACATTCGCAGATGATGCAATGAGCAGTGAAAAATCTGAGTCACCTGAAGTACACATTCCCAGCTCATACTGAGCAAGGCAACTCACTTCCTTCTTGTTTCAACCCATATACTATAAACAAGTGTCCTTTTTGTGGTCTATTTTGTGCCATGTTTTTTTTTTTGCCTTTTCGTGGTTTGGGTTGGTGATTTCGCTGTTGAAAATGGAATTATCCCTTTACTTTTTGGCACTGGAAATTGCTCTGGAGAACGTCTGAAAGCAGCCTGGATTTTCTTCCTTCATTTAAGGAAATTTAGCTTTAAAAATACCTTGGAATAATTTTTGTCTGCAATTTTTGGATTCCCTATTTCAGGAATACTTCTCGTCCATATGCTGTATCATTTCTGCCTGCCCCTGCTATCTATTACTTTATCTGTATTCATTTTATCTTTCCCTTTCCTTCCCTTTGCACTCTCTCTGGACGGACTTCCATTTCAAGACTTTAATTAAATTTTCAGCCGTATCTATTCTGTTTTGGCTGTTCTAA